GAAGAGAAGCGAATAAGTCAACTACTGTGTAAGGTATGTTTCTTATCCCTTTTGCAAGTGTCATTGGTCCCTCTATGTTTTTGGTTTGTTTATGTCTTCTTGTGGTTTCAGTAGTTTAGTATTGTTTATGTATACATGTGGTCCCGTTTGTACGATTGTGTTAATTTGAAATTGTTTTTGTCAATTCTTTATCATGTCAGCTAAGACTAATAAGGTTAGGTTGAGAATACATCATTGGTGAAATTTATTTGAGCAACATGTTAAGTGGTATGTTAATGGGGAAGTTACTGAGATGAATTGGAGTTAGGATGTCGATTATATGTCATACATGAAAATATCGGGTATGATTCAGAGTCAGGTTTACGAAAATATTAAGTGTTAGACGACAACAACTTATCTAGAGAAGGTGAATAGATCCCTAAAAAAAGTTTTACTTAAAACCTGTATTAGAAAATTTAAGCAAAAACTATGGCAAGTGAAAGTCATACTTAGATCACAAGTCGACAAACCTAACCGATTATTGGAGGCTCAAATATGCATAATATCAAACTCAATTAAATGATGATGATAAGATCTTAATACAATAAATTCTCAAGTAATTATTTTATAATTACAAGGTCAACCAATATCCAATGAAACAATTGATAAAACTAAGTGAAACAATTTATCCAACACTTAGTGTGCAGTTAATTTTTCAGATTTTCCTTTGAATTTTATTGGTATGAAATACCTCTTAAAATCTAATAGATTGTAAGGTAATCAACAAAACAATTTAACAATCAAAAGATTTGTCTATACGAATCAATTGCACAATCAAAGAGTTCAACAAATTGCTAATAAATTATAAATGATATATATATATATATATATATATATATATATATATATATATATATATATATATATATATATATATATATATATATATATATATATATATATATATATATATATATATATATATATATATATATATATATATATATATATATATATATATATATATATATATATATATATATATATATATATATATATATATATATATATAAAGAGAGAGAGAGAGAGAGAGAGAGAGAGAGAGAGAGAGAGAGAGAGAGAGAGAGAGAGAGAGAGAGAGAGAACGACACAATGATTTGTTTAGACAGTTCACAAATCGTCCTTGCTATGGCTACGTTTATGTAAGTTTAAGAATGCACCTAAGAGGGAGGTGAATTAGGTGTAATAATTTTTTTCTAGTTTTTAGAGATGTGTTCCTTTCTTTTCTAGTTATGTTATGTGATGAAAGTTGTAGATGGGAAAAGTAAAGAACACAAGAAATTTATCCTACCCCCCCCCCCCCCCCCCCCCCCCTCACAATCCGATAGTACATGTAGTCTCCTTACCATATGTAAGAGATTTTATTATTGTTAGATCTTATGGACAAGACTCTCCTAGTTTTCGTATCTTACAAAATCACCAAGAACAATACTCTTGTGATCAACCAAGTTGAAATGAGAACAATCCTCTCCAATTTAACTATCTTGCTTCCAACAATCCTGGACAGCATGGTATACAAACCTAACAAGTAAAAAAAGAAAATAATATTTTATTTATCACTCTCTTATTTTCAACAATCCTGGATAACAAGGAAACACACCTAATATCAAACAATCCTTGATACTTAGGAATTTGTAACACAACAATAATTTGTATAAGAAGAAAGTTTATATAATGGACATGACTTAATCAAATGACCAAAGTCTTCTTCTCTTTCAAATATGAAATATCAATATCATAAACTCTCTAAGTGCCCAATGATGCTTTTACAATGATATGAAAATTTTCTCAAAAAGCATCTTAGTATAGAAATTTGTAATGAAAATTATGTAGAGTTTTGTAGAATTTTGATTCAAATAAGTGATATTTTTTTAAAGAGGTGATATGAAAAAAAATGTTTTTTTCCTTAAATACATCATAAGAAACCTTTATGAATTAGTGCAAAAGTTTGAGACATTTTCATGAAGGTTTGCAATTGTTTAGAATGACAATGGTTCATGAAAAAGATATAATTTTGAATTATGTATAAGACTTGTTAAGTCAGTTAAACGGATACTTGACTTAACAAGTGCATAACATTTTTTAAATTTCAAAATTAAAATAATGTTTTAGATCAGTTTAAATTGTGGCGGTTTTTAGTGTTGTTACACGAGTTAAACTGCCACACTTTACCAAAAACAGAATGTTTGAAAAATTGAAAATTTATCTAAGTATTTCAACCAGTCTTATGCAACATCTATTGATTTTTATCCAAGTAAATTTATTATATTTGAAAGTGATTTAACATGGTTCAAACATGAAAAATATTATATTTGAAAGTGATTTAACATAGTTCAAACATGAAAAATAAATTTTCCAATACATAATAAAAAATATTTTGATTACTAAGAAATGTCTATGATATGAAATTCATATACCTAAGATGATGAACAAAATCTTGTGATCTAATTCATATCTTCATAGATATTTTTCTCCATCTTTGATAAGGTAGTGTTGAGTTTGTCTTCATCAAAACATGTTGGAAACTTGTCTTCACAGTCGGTCCCCAATTCCGTTTGGAATTGAGATAAGAATTCTTACTATGCAAAAATTAGTTTACAAGAGGAATGTAGCAACCCAACTCTACAAACCCTATGTTTGATGTTGATTCTAGCAATTTCTCTTCCCCTGATTTAAGTTTGATCAAGTCACCCAACAATACCAATTTGATCCATCGTATCACGCTACTCCTTTGTAAGGCATCATTGTTCTTTAAATATCTTCACTCGGCCGAATCTAAATTACGAATTATTGTCACCAAATATTTCCAAATGATTCACTATCTCACATTACTCCTTTACAAGAACCTATTGTTCTTTAAAGCTTTTCACATGGTCGAATCCAATATTTGTGACATCTTGTAAAAATCCTCAAATTCACACTTTGATCTTGAGGTAAAACCAACCTTATCAAACCAACCTAAATTATAACCAACCTAAATTGACCGTGATCAACCAAGTCTAGATGGCACCAAAACAATGAATGATTATGTGTACTTTTTTTGGGTGTATGCATAGATTCAAGGTTGAAGATGATGAGGAATATTAGTATGTGTTTATAGTTTCATCAAGTTGAAAATAATGCATGTATGAAGTATATATAGGTGTGCAAGTTGGAGGGAATAGGGAAACTTAGAAGTTTGAAAAGGAAATCAATTTTTGAGAAATTCTGACACATGTGTCGACATACGTAATTACATGTGTCGACCTTTTTGAGGTTATTGTGTCGACACAAGTTTACATAAGCTACATGCTTTAAAACAACAGTACACGTGTCGACAAGAAACATGTATCTGTCGATATATCAAAGGTTTAATAATGACATGTGTTGACCTAAAATGAGGAATGTGTCGGCACATAGTTATAGAGCCTACAGGCATTAATATTGATCCACATGTGTCGACGTGTAGAACGGATGTGTCGACACATGCAACTGATTTTTATGAAAAAATTGATTTTTAGTGCAAGAGACCTATTGACAACCTTTTCAAACATGTTCTAAATGCATTCTGTTGTACCCCAAAATTTTCCCTCTCATTTCTCAAGACATTTCTCACAATGATTCTCAAAGTTCAAGCTTGCACAAGTACAATTGGAGGAAACTGTTAAAAAAGGCAAAACAGATAAAAATAATCTTTTCAACAAAATTGGAGAAAAATAAGTTTTCTTCGATTTCCCTTGCTTCGATTGGATTTTTGGTCCCCTGTAAATCTACTTTGATTCACAAGGCTTCGATTGGAATTTGGTCTCTTTCAGGCCTTCTTCGATTTCCCTTGTTTCGTTTAGACTTTAGTCTCTTTCAAGACTGCTTCAATTGGACTAGGACTTCCTTAAAGCTTCCTTCGATTCAGAAGGAAATGATCTTCATACAAGCTTCGACTGAGTTTTGTTTCCCTTTGAAACAACGTCCTTCGATTCAGGAAGTAAATGCCTCCTGTTGGTTTTCTTTGATTCAGAAAGTCAATAACCTTCTGAAAGCTTCCTTCGATTCAAAAGGAAATAACCTTTTGAAAAGTGTCCTTTGATTGCACCATTGACCCCTTACATGTTTGCCTTGAGTCACAAAGCAGTGACCTCCTACATACACCCTTTCGTTTGGACATGTGACTTCTGGCATGCAAGCCTTTAATTGGACAAGAGCCACCTTCATACAAAGCTTCGATTAGAGTTTTGGTTTCCTTCGAATCAACATCTTTCGAACCAAATCTGGATCCTTCGAAGCAAGTTTGAGCAAATATCATAGCCTTATCCTCTAAATCTCACTTGTCAGACTATGTTACTACCAAATCTTTACATGATCAGAAGCTTGGACAAAGGTTCGAAGCTTTGCCTACTGGATAATACTATTCTTGGTTAAAATAGCAAAAGTTATGTACCTTTTTTTTCTTAGAGAGTACTTTTATCACAAAAGCAACTTCCAACCTGATTTTTGTCTGAACACAAGCAATGCCAAAAGCATAAGTCCAATCTTCTACCAGCAGGTCCCCCACTTGTACTGGAAACGTGGGAACAATGAAAAGGAACTGACTTGTTTCACCTTTAACCAAACCATGGTTTGTTTTCATACAAACTTGGTTACTTCAAAACACCTTCAATCTTTTCTCTATAAATAGAGAAACATTTGCAAAGAAAGGGAGGACTTTTTGGCCAGAGGAACGAATCTCCAAAATTTTCTCAAACACCATAAATTTCTCAAACACTTAAACATTTATGAAAACACAAACCCAGAATCCAAACACTTGTCCTCTTTGAATCTGAAAGGTCCATGTACCTTGTTCCCCTTTGAATCCAGCAGGAAGAACCTCACGCTTGTTCTCCTCTTTAAAATCCAGCATCAAAGGCATAACCTATGGTCCCTTCCTTCAAATCCAGCAGCATTCAAGGAAACCACTTCAAGGTCCAGCACACCCTCCAACCTCCAACATGGTAAGTTGTTCCAAACCTTGAGCTTTTCGTTTCTTGTACGACATGTAAATAAGCTTTTCTTTCGTTTCAAGCATGTCATTACCATTGTTATTTTCATTTCCACCCTTTTAATATGTTTTCAGAACTAACCCTTTTGTTTTGCTTCTTGTTTACCTAAACATGCATTAAGTATTAAACTGGTTGTAAGGTCATTCTAGCATGGCCTTATGCCATGTTGCTATTTAAGAGTTCAAATGAAAGAAACAAGAGACAGGAAGTAGGAAGCGAAGCCTCTGACTTCCACACTAACCTCCAGGTCAAACGAAAGAGGCAACCAGAAGGCACACCATGATGACTTCTAGGACCAGTCGAAAGGCACAACATACTGACTTCCAGTCCCAGACGAAAATCATGCCTACACTGATTCCAGGCCCAGTCGAAAGGCACTCCCTCACTTCTTTCAACCCCTAGTCGAAGGAGGAAAAAAGCCAGATTGCATCTTGCAATGGTTCTAGGCCTAGTCGAAAGATAAAACATGCTGACCCCCAGGCCTCAGTCGAAAGCCACGCCCTCACCCCCTTGCAGGCCAAATCGAAGGAAGCCAGAAAATGCATAATCAAAGGGTCTTCTGCCTCAATCAAAAGAACTTCATTTTTCTTACTTTTATTTCATTTTTTCCTTTATATTTTCATGCACTTCAATATGGTTGTAATAGTGTAGGATATTTATTTTCTGCATTTTTATTGCTTTATATAAATGTTAGTAATTAGGATGTATGGCAAGATAAAACCAACAAGTAGACCACCCAAAAATCAAAGACAAAAGGCATGCAGTCAAAAACACTATTCACGCATGCACCCCTAGGGTTAACTCCACTTGTTGCCTAAAAATGGTCATGTTATGCATGTGAGACGTCTTAGTAAAAATAATCAAAATACAAGATCATAATCCCTCGATGACGCTACGAATGTTGCCTTACAAATAATCTTAGTCCCTCAAGAGAATGCTAAGATATCTCACAACATTGCTATCATGACTATACGATAACCCACGCCCGTCCCTTCACATCTAATGATGGGGCTTCTTACCAAAACAATGGTAAGATAGCAACATCTAAAGGAAGAGGAAAAGAACGCTTAATACCTTTTGAGTAGGTATATTTCTCCTAGTTGCTCGCTTGCTCACAACAAAAACATTTTATACACCAACACTTTCATTTTGAAACACTTTCAAAAGACAACACTTTGTATGCGTTCTTATAGAGACGAGAATCATTACAAAGGCATGTTTTCAAAATACTTTCAAAACCACACCACAAAGCACACTTTCAAACAAAACCAAGTGATCTAGCTAGCAACTAAGAGTCCATAGATAACTATGGATGAAAAGGGTGCTAACACTTTCCCTTTTCATAATCTACCCCCCGAATTCAAGAAATAAACTCAAAGGTCTTTCCTGTTCTTTTCAGCCTTTCCTTATTGGATAAAAGAAAAGTCAGTGGCGACTCTTTCTATCCGCAACAATTGCGATCAAACGCAAAACACCAAAGTCAGTTCTTCCACCGTGTTACACATTATAATATCCCTAATGCAATGCTGCACTCAATGGCTCAGATATACCATTCAATATATAGAAAAGCATAATCTATCCTAGTTTTACATCATGAAAAACATCTATCTAAAAGGAAAATGTGTTCACCTTAAGTGCTTGTGGTATTGGAACCCTGCATATAGTTTTTCTCATGGTTTTAGACCCTTGAACAATGACCGGGATGTTCTACAATTTTTTAAATATGTTGTAGGCTATGATGTAGTTGTGGAGCATCAAGTTGAAATCCTGATATTGTTGATGACCGTGAACTAGATGCTAACATTGAGGGTGATTGTGAAGATGATGTACAATGCATTACTTTTAAAAATGAAAATGGTGTTGCTGAAGAAATTATTCCTAAACATGTTAATGATGTAAACATTGATGAGTCTGGAGAAGATAATGGTGCTGGAGATGCAAATATTGATGAGATTGGAGAAGATAATGGTGTTGGAGAAGAAAATGGTGCTGGAGGTGCAAACATTGATGTGGACGAAGCAGATAATAGTGTTGGAGAAGAAAATGGTGTTGGAGAAGATAACATTGATGAGGATTATGTTGCAAGTGAGAGTAGTTTTGAGGATAGTGAGTTCCAATTTAGTGAAGACTCTATGGCAAGTGAGATGAACTGGACTAAGATACTTCCACATGAGACTTTAGGTGAGGTTTCTTGCTGCTAAAAAAAGAAAGATCAGACTGAGATGGTCCATGAGGAGAGTGAGGACTCAGACCATTTATATACACCTCTTCGGAGTGATTATAATGATGATGAGGGAATGAAGTACCCTACCCATAAATCTGGAGAGGGAATGAAATTTTAACTACGGATGATGTTTACTAACAAAGAAGTGATAAGGGATGTTGTCAAGGACTATGGCATGGAAAATCATAAGAATTTATTCATTAAGAAGAATGATTCTGAAAGGATTATGGTGAAATACACTGATGGTTTTAAGTTCTACTTGAGATTTAGAAAAAAGGAATGGTCACAAGTTTTGGCAAGTAGTGAGTTTGATTGAAGAACGTACATCGCATATGACTGCTGACAACAAGTGCAAAGACAATGTGGCTTGCCAAAAGGTTTCCCACCACTCTTAGACACAGGCCCCATATGAAACCATCAAGTCCTAATAGTATTGTTGTAATACAATGTGCTGATAGTAATGGCAACCATGTGTTTGAAAGAATTTATGTTTGTTTAGAGGCTTGCAAGGAAGGTTTTTCAAAGACATGTAGGCCACTTATTATGCTAGATGTATGTTTCTTAAAAGGGTATTATGGTGGACATTTAATGACAACAGTATGGAGGGATGGTAATAACCAAAATTTTCCAATTGCATATGATTTAGTAGAAGCTGAGACAAAAGATTCATGGCAATGGTTTATAAACCTTCTTCTGTATGATTTGGAAGGATACAATCAGAGGTCCTATGAATTTATATTAGATCAACAAAAGGTATTAAATTCTACAGTTACATCTTGTGCATTTAATTTTATGATCTGTTTACATTTTGCACTTACATTTTTTCATATATGTCACATGGACTTGTTCCAACTGTTTAATGCATTAGTGCCAATGTGGAGTGTAGATTATGTATGAAGCATTCATATGGAAAATGGAAAAAGGAACACCCTAGGTTGGAATGCAAGGAATTACTGTGGGCAGCTTCTAGGGAAACAACAGTTCCAACTTGGGAAAAGGAAATGTAAAGAATAAAGACAATGAAAGAGGAAAGATATGTTTAATGTCCTTGCTTGCCATTGGATCATATCACACTTTAGTACTTATTCAAAGTGTGATTTACATGTCAACAACATGCGTGAAGCATTCAAAAGGGACATATTGGAGCATATGGAGATTCCTATTATCACCCTATTGGAAGGCATGAAGCATTACATCACCAAGAGGATTGCAAGTTGGAAAGGGTTGTTATAGGGCTACACTGGATCTAAATGTCCTAAAATCCAGCTGGTTATTAAGAAGAATAAGAATCAAGAACAAGGGCGGAGTCGTACATTGCATGGTGATGATGACATATTAATATTTGGTGTCACCAATGGCATTGATACTTATTGTGTTGATATGAAGAAGGAAACATGCTCATGTAGAAAGTGGGATTTGTCTGGTATACCTTGTTGTCATGTAATTGTATGTATATGGAACATAAAGAAAAACTGAGGATTATGTTGATGCATGTTATAGGTATGACTGATATACTATCTCTGTTTACTGTAATTTTGACTTCTACGGATTGAATTTTGACTATTATTGTTGGATTCTGTTTTATATAAGAAATCAACATTTATGGACACTTACTTAAACATTGTGTATCAAACCAATGGACCATAATTGTGTCCTGTAGATTATTAAAATATAGTGGCCCAAAAACAGAGGAACAAGACAAATGATGAACCTAGAAATCCTCACATAGTGGCAAGGAGATTTTCAACTATCACATGTGCAAAATATAGTGCTATGAGACATAACAAGAGGAGTTGTAAAGGAAAATGGTTGCAGATAAGGCAATTCCAAAGGGTGGTAATAAACTAAAGAAGGCTAAGTCTAAAGAAAAGCCATAAGAAATTGCTAAAATTTCACAAGCTTCTCAACCCACTTAAGAATAGTGACTGATTATAGGTTTAAGTAGTAATATATGAATGTATTTCAGATAGTAATGTATGATTGTATTTTTTCTCAAAGAATGACTTGAGTTTTGTTTAGGTTGTATTGTATGGATTTATTGTTGTTTCATTTTGACTCAAGTTATGTCTTGAGTGATATTTTGGGTGTATGAAAACTAGTGCTCAAGCAAGGTTAATGTTATGTTAAGTATTATGGTTTGGTTACATGTCTTGTTAACTTATGTGTGTTGTGTTTTATTTTGAATTTCACGTGCAAAATATATGTCCAAATTACATGTTCAAAATCTCTCTTGTTGTTGTATGTCCAAATTATCTTATGGTAGAACTATTTAGTCAAATTACAAGGACATATATGCAGTCAAAATTATGGTAGCATCAAGCATAATTACAGGCCCAAAGTTAGAGTCAAAGTTATGAATTATGCAGTCAAATTACAGGTCCAAAGTTAGAGTCGAATTTATGCATTATGTAGTCAAATTACAAGTTTAAAGTTAGAGTCAAACTATGCATTAAGAAATCAAATTACAAGGAATTATGTTGTCAAATTACAAGGCATTATGTAGTCAAATTACAAGGCATTATGCAGTTAAATTACAAGGAATTATGCCGTCAAATTACAAGGCAATATGCAGTCAAATTATGTTAGCATTATGCAGTAACTTTGGACCATATCAATAATTTGAATAATATCAATAACTTTAACAATAACATTAATTTCATTCAGAAAGTATTACAATCCAAGGAGACTAACCAATACATCATTACAACAATAGAAACATAAAACTAACACATAATAAACTAAATCCTACTTCATTAATGTTGTTCCAACAAATGCAAACAACATGACAAAAACAACATCTAGTTTATCTTCAACTGTTTCTTCAACATCTTAAATTTCATCTTCAATTCTTCCTACTTTTCTTTATATGAGTTAATCATCTCTTTCTCTTTATTCAAGTTCTTTAATAATGCAGAGATTAACTCTTTTGCTCTAGGATTCATCTCGCCATCCAACCAAGCAAAGTGACTGCAATTATTGTAAGCTTGACTCTATAAACATCAATGGAGAGAAAGATGAATAAAACCTAAACCAAGTACAGAGAATTTTTTTTGAAGAAAGTTATACATACCTTATACATCCCACATTCATAGAAACGACGACCTGGATTCACATCCGTCCATGCCATCATCAACGAAGCATCCAGACCACTCTTGCATATGTACCTCGAACAATTTGAAGATCTGCTTCCATGGCTAAAAATTTACTGTTGTGACATTTAAGTTGTTGGATTTGATGACGCGTATATCATGATGTGAGGGCTTAAAGAAATAGATGAAAACTTGAAGAAACCTAGAAGATTGGAGATGGTGAACAATGAAGAAGGTGAGGAAGACGAAGAACAACACAAAGCTTTGTTATTTTTAGATTTTTATAAAAATTAAAAGTTGTTTTATTTAATTAAAATATTGTTTTATTTTATTAAAATATATTTTCAGTAATTTGTTTATTGAATTATTAAATTTATTATTAAAATAATCTGATTTGATGACATGGATTCACTAACATGCTGTCACCTCATTAATGAACATGACACCTAAGAAAAATTGGATAGGGGACCAAGAAAATCCAGAGGCCTTCTAAATTAAGGACAAAAATAGCTAGTTTTCTAATAGGGGGACAATTGTTTAAAATGGCCAAACTAGGGGACCAAAAGTGCATTTAAGCCTATTATTTTCTTGTTATCATTTGACAACGAATATGAGTTTTTCTCCAATTTATAGTTTCAACATTGTATTCTTGTCTTGTCATTGTTTTTTTTTTATTTTCCAAAAAGTGATATCATGAGCTTTGGTTTGGCGGGGTATAAAAGTTATAAGTATGCTTGTAGTTTTGTCTGGTTTTCTACATGAGAAAATAATTTCCATATACTTTTAGTGTTGGTTGAGAAAGATTTTGGCTACAACAAAGGTTATGGTTACAAAGTCAAAAGTTTCAAGTGTAGTGAAACTTGACTTAAAGAAATTTGATGGAAGAATCAATTTTAACGGTGGAAAATTCATGTCAACGATGTTTTGATAAAATTAAAACTGCACAAGGTGTTAGAAGGAAATATTATAAACATAGATATCAAGAAGTGTGAAAAGTACCTAGAACTATATGTCTTCAGTTAAGAATATTATTCTAAAGGCTAAATACCCTTTTTGTCCCTTATCTTATACTCAGTGTCTGGCTTGGTCTCTTAACTTTTAAAAATATCATTTTGATCCTCAACTTTTCAAAACATATCATATTAGTCTTTTCTGTCCAAATTTCACTAATGATGTTAATTTTTAACTGACGTGTGACCTTTAATTTTTGTGATTGATTTAACAACGAAAAAATTTGTCACTAAATATTTATTCTGAGTTTCCATTAATGTTCTTCATCTTCTTCCCCAAAATTAAAAAATAATATCAAAACCCACAAAATTCCTCAAACCCACTAAACTATTTTTGCTTCCAACTTCATTTCATAAACAACAATCTCACACAAAAACTTCATGTCATCAAACTCATTCTCCATGTCTTGGTTTCATTGAATTAAGTATGGATTGCATTGAATTAAAAGTTTGAAATTTAGGTTTAACTGATATCAATTTATTCCTTAAAATCTAGCCTGAATATCATGCCACTAAAAAGGATTATAATTATATATCTCAATGTAGTATAGCATTAAGTTTGAATGGTTCAAAATGTTACATGTAAAGCTTACTGACCAGTAATTTCCCGGACGGATTGGTCCTGCAAGCTTTTACAGTTTTCTTAACCACACAATCTAACAAGGGCTTTCCGTTCACAGTAACATTAATTTTTCCATGATCATTTGAAAGTTAGCACGAGAGTATGGGTTAAAAACCAAAAATAGTGGAGTTTATTTAACATCTCCACATCATGTATTCTTAGTAGTGTCGATACAAACTTTAGAGAAGACTATTTGTTATATTATAGAAAATTAGAAGATATCTTTGAGCTTAACTACTATAGCTAATTTAAAGTTACTCTATTCAAATGTAAATGGGCAAACACCACTAGGGATATGGGGTAAAAAAAGATGCATGAGATTTTATTTCCGTTAATTTTTAAAGATTGATTCACACAGGTGATTGTAAAGAACATGATCCGCACATTAAGACCTCACAAGCTCAAATGGTCTATTATATGAATGATAAGATAGATAAAGACTTGATTTTTGTTGTCCACTTGAAACCAAGAGACTTATATGATATGGGAGATCTAATTGATATTAAAGTTTGTCTTGAGCAAAAATTGGATCAAGTTTTTGGCGACTCTGATAATCTGTCTTTGATAAGGGAGGATGTAGATGATGAACTAATAAGTGAGGGGAATGTTAATGATGACATTGATGGAGATGAACTTATGTTAGAATAAAGGAATGAAGTATATGTAGGTGATGAACTAATTATTGGTATCATTGTTAAATACTTGTATTTGATAATTGTTTTTAATCATTTTGTTAACTAACTATCAAATGAATGTAGCCAACTGAGTTAAATCATATGAGAGATAGAGATGAAGTCCTTAGACTGCTTGCATATCACATACCATACCATAAAACTAAAGAGATGTTGTATTGAAGCTTTAAGATTAGGTGTATTTAGAGCTCAGTAAGAAATCATTTAATTTCAAATAAATTTTTCTTATAGGTCTTTTGGTTTGTTCTAGTTTCAAGTAGTTAATGACTATTATAATAGTTGCATGTTACATAAAATACAATAAATTATTAGTTTAATTCAAAAATAAGATAAAAAACATATGAGAAGGTTTGAAGAGGAAGTTTCAAGGATCCCTACCCTATCTTTCTGATCATACCTGATCAGAAGGAATCGTCACTAGCCCACGAGCTTGAGTTGAACGATGGTTATTGAGTGAAGTGGATGGGGGTGTAGGTACTTTAATGTCAAAGTAAGAATGAGAACAATCAGAGAGAAAGTACTATAATAAGAATGAGTAAATGAATGAATATCTGCCCTTTCATGTGAGAGCGTATTTATAGCCCCCGATGCTGGGCCAAGATCTTCAGTGTTGGGTCATGATAAGGCGCAATAATTAAGACTGTCAGGGTTACGGGTGTGTGGAGTCCAACACGTGGCCTCCTTCTTGGTAAACTTCCCCGAAGAAATAAGGAAGTTGGAACTTTTATTCTCTAAGGTAAAATCGATGGCGGTTATGGTCACTCACAAGTCATGTTCCCTTAGTGGACACGTGTGAAAGTGCCCAACAATCATTGGTTTGGGCGGCATGGATTTAGGCCATTGTAGAGGCGCTGGACTAGGCCTCCCCAAAGGTAGGGCAGGTGTCGGCCCAGTCCAAAACATGAGCCCCTCATGTTATTTCCCTAGGGCGAAAGGGCGATGACTTTAGATCAATTTAAATATCGAGGAAGTGTTACCTGTAACATCCCGATTTTTATTTAGTATTATTTAATTATTTTATTAATTATTATATTATATGATAATTAATTAAATTATGTATTTTGGTGACTATTTGAAATATTTGGATATATGTGTTATTTGAATATTTTCGTTTATGAGTGAGAATAGAAATAATTATGAGTTGGGCTTATATTATGATAGAAATGTGAAGAATATAATTAGGCCCATTAAAGAATAGGGTTGTAAGAAGAGATATTAGAGTTGTTATGTCATAACACAAAAGAAGAGAAAAGAAGAACAAGAAGAGAAGAAGAGAAAGAGGAAGAGAGAAGCGGCAAAACCTAGAGGTGAATCTTCAAGAGGTAAGGGGGAGAATCCTTATTATTACGTGTGTGTATGGTATTTAATGGGTAGTAACATGCTAGGGTGATTTGATTTTCAATTTCTAGAATCTTACATGTTAGGGTTTGGATAGAAATCTATGAAATTGATGAGATTTGATGTGTTGAACGGGATAGAATGAGTAATTTTATGTTAGGATGATGGGTTATTGATAAAATTGACAAGCATGATTACTTGTGGTGATTTATGGTGTTTCTTAGAAGAAGATTCGTGTGAATTCTAAGAAAAAAAATGCAGAAAAGAAAATCATATTTTCGAAGTTTGAGTCGACTCAAAATAAAAGGGGGACAGCGCGAGACAACCCGCCAGGCAAGGAAGTGTTTTCACGCAGTTTTGTGTCGACTCATAGTTCTTTGGGTTGACTCATACAACAAATTTTCCGACAGATTTTGTAACGGCCATAACTTTTGAACCGTAACTTTGTTTTAGGCATCGTTCAAATCATTAGAAAGCTAAAGAAATAAACTATAAGATAGAACTAGGTTTGTTCGCATTGGATGATTGGAATAACTGTTTGAATATTATTTGTTATGTGTCATGAATGGAAATAACATGTTTTGGCATTGTTTGCTATTTGTGATATGTGTGATTGATGAATGTTATATGATTGCATTGTGTTGATGATATATGTGTGTTTGTGCAACGGTGGATAATTCATTTTGATGGATTATTGTGATATGATGTATGATTAAGGTTTGGTGATAATCTTAATTTGCATATAATTGGTTATGTTTGCACATGCATGCATGGGGAGAATGAACTCTAGTTGGTTGCTTTGATCCTTATGTGGAAATAAAAGCGGTGAATTATATGTTCATATTGGTTGCTTTGATCCTTGTGTAGAAATATAAGCGCTGAACTATATGTTCATATTGGCAGGCTTTGGTCTTGTCCGGATCGGAAGCGTGACTCTGGTTCTAAATTTTGAATCGGCAGCGAGTTGAACTTGATGTTCACGATGGTACCACATGCATGAGTCGCATTGAGTTGCATTTGAGTCACATTTTTTGTTATGTTATGTTTGGCTTTGAATGCGTAATGTGTGTGATAATTTGGTTTAACCATGACTTTGAGGATGATTGCAATGTATGTAATGATTGTGGGAATTATTCTACTTGAATATCATTGTCTTGGTACTTGTATTGGTGAAGCCATGTTGTATAGATAATTATATGAAGTGTGATGAATTCTTGGAATTGTTGTAACCCAATTTTTCCCCCTAAGATCCCTTCACCATACCATATTGATTCAATCACAAGGATCACATTAGGGCTTTTGGTTCTCCTCCCTATCTTTAGCTTTGTTGTTTGAGGAATCACCAAGCACCTTGACTTATTTTTCTTGTGTAACCATTCATGTTTTGTTTTGACTTTCCTTTTAATTAATAAAGTGCAATGTTTGTTTGTCTTACTTGTCAACAATGCAGGTAAAGGCAATGGGGCTTGGCAAGTTGATCCATGGGTTCATGAGTTTATTTCCATGACCTAGTCAATGAAGCTTGAGAAGTTCAAACCTCACCATGGAAGTTGTTTTGGAAGAAATTGCATGGCAAGGTTATTTTGGTTAATCACATTTCAAGATTATCAAATTTGATCCAAAAAGTACAAGGGGTTGATTGAAGAAATAGTCATGTTTGGACAAGACTTTGTTCCATTGGTCACAAGTGCATATTTCTCTCAATTCTCAAGATATGGAAGTGGTTGTGGTTGATATGAGTTCTCATTATCATCCTCAACAACTTATATTTACAAATCATATGTTTTGGTACAAGAAGTTTGTTCAAAATTGTCCAAGTTCCTCAAGGCATGTTTCTTAATCTAGGAGCTAGGGTTTTGAACTTCAAAGGAGTATATCTTACTCATCTTTTGGTATTTTTGAGTGATTCCTAAAACATCATTCTCTTCAAAGGTTTATCAACAAATCACTTTAAAAGTTCCAAGGAGTTTTCATGTGGAAGAAACTTGATGATGAAGAAAGATTACAAGTCCTCCAGATGAATCCCCAATTTTTCATGTGTGACTTCAAATGATCATAACTTGGTCAATTTGTATCACCTTGAGCCCATTAATTTTCCATAATGAACTTTAATATGTGAAATTTACGCCTTCTTTTATGTGCAAAGTGATAAAATGGATGAAAGTTTCCTTAAGGATACAAAAGATTATAGGTCATTTTATGAAATTTTGCCAACTTCAACAAGTCATAACTTTCTCAATTTTTGGAGATTTTGATTTTTTCAAGTTTCAAAAGGTCATTCAAGAGATACAATTCATGCCATCTTTTTTGGTCAAGAGCAGATTCCAAGTGGAAGGCTATGTTTGGATGCAAGACATTATAGGTCACTTTTGAAGAAAAATTTGAAATATTTTTAAGTATGGAAAGTCAACGATTTTCTCCAACTTTGACTCAACACAACTTTCAGCTCAAGCATCCATTTGATTCCATTCTTTTTCCATTGCAAAGCTTGTAACCTCATCTTTCTAAAGCATCAAGAATCATGTCCTAAGACCCCTTGAGCTGAGAATGCCATTGGTCAGAAGTTGGCACTTTGAAACTGAATTTTTCACCAAGTCAGAAGTTTGAAATCTTTGTTTTGGCTTCTAATCACAAGTTTTCCACGCGTTTTTGCCTCTAAACATGTTTAGTGAAGTTCCAGAATTGTTTAGCACCTCAAAACGCAAGGATTGGATGAGTTTTGGTGAAAATTAGATCACACTTCACGCGTGCATCAGGTTTGCACGAATTCCCTCCAAAATGCATCATTCACTCTTCCTTTTGATCCCATTTGCTTCTCCTATAAATACATGAACTATCCCATTCATTTTCTCAAGCTTGGATAGCCAGAATCACCTTGCCAAACTTATTCCATAACTCAGAATTCAGCAACTTCGAAATCCATATACAAGCCTTTTTCAATCCAATTTTTTCATCAATCAACCTTCTTTGATGTTCCATGAAGCTAACCATATAATTACATTCAAGAATCGTGCCCTATATTTCTCCATAGAAGTCCAGTTTCAGAGCTCTGCAACTCAACTTCAATAGGTAGATTCCTTCATCAATTCTTCAAAACGTTGATATCATTGTGATGCTCTCATTGCCCTGGTTCTAGTCGCAACACTTGCTTTTTACTAGAAACACGTTTTGACCATGAAATTTCAAATCCCTTTTTAAAACTTTCTTTCCAAATTGCTTGAGCTACAACTTATATAAATTTGGCGCGATGGTGTGGTTGTCTTCGTCTTGAAGAGACCAAACGAATGGCATAGGTCTGAGCTCCTGATTTTACAGTTTGAGAGACCTGCAATTCACGTTGGCTGGAGGTTGAAGATGACCAATGTGTCATCTTCCAATCAATGATGGCACGCCACTTGTTATTTTTGAATTCTGATTTAATAATTGATTCAGTGTTTTATTCACTAATGACCATGATACGCATAGCGCGCCAGATCCCTTGGATTTGATTACTAACGAGTTTTGACTCTCATCCTATGGTCCACATATTTTTTAATTTTATTTTCTTTTATGATTTTTTTTATATTTAATTGTTTTAAAATTCAAAAAATCATAGAAAAATTCATTTTAAGTCCAAAA